CTCAGTCCTCTCCACGACTGGTTTTCTGAAAGCTCTTCTCACCTCTCATAAATAGTGGAACCCCATTACTTCCAGCCTCGGCTTGGCATTCAAGGCCCCACCCAATCAGGTCCCAAACTATCTTCCCAGGCATGGATCCTCCCCTTCGTCCTCCTCTTCAAAACTCTGTCTTCAGCCAAGACTGTAGGACTTGCCTGGGCATGCTTTGTGTTTCCCCAACTCCACAGTTGACCGCCACATCATTCTCTTGGCCTAGAAATCTGCTCCCACCCTCTTTGCCTGCTGGATTTCTATTCATCCTTCAAAACCTATGACAAATGTGACTTCCTTTATGAAGACCTCTTGATTCCACCACCGGCAAATGATCTTTCCTTCCTGGGATGTCTCATTTGTTTGTATAGGTCTCTACATAAGCAGTTCTTAGATTGTGTGTGTTGTGGTGATGGTACAAAGCCTTGGGTGTTTGTAAAGCTTCAAAGATTGCAGAATTCTGCAATCTTGTGTGTGTGTGTGTGTGTGTTTATGTTTTGGTATGAAGGGTGAGCACAGCTATGCAGAACACTTGAACACAAAGAAGGGACTGGACATTTACTGGGTGTGGAATGTGTCAATCACTTCTGCTCTGCCAATGAACATAGAGCCAGATGTCTCCCTCAGAGGAGAGAGAACACTCATTATAAAACGTATAAACACACTTGGAGGAAGAAAGAGTAGAGAGAGGAAGGAAGTGAGTAAGTGTGTATGGATCATTCACTATATTCCAGGCACTATGTTAGAGAGGAAATTTCAGGTGAACCATGAGCTCACTTAACCCTTACAATGGCGCTGCAAGGTAGAGATTATTGCCCCCATTTTGTGGATGTGTCATTTGAGAGTCATGTTCCTCTGGAAATAGGCTTTGAGAGGAAGACCTGAATGCAGAAGATTACTTGGGGAATGCTCATGGAAGAACCTCCGTAAGGGGGTCATGGGAGCAGGACTGGGCAGAGGAAGAGGTTATATGGCAGTGGGGCTGCCCAGAAGCCTCAGCTGCTCCCATAGGGCATGCTAAAGCTTGGGTGGTCCTTCAAAGATGTCCCCATCGAGGTAATGGGACACCTATAGGGCATGCTAAAGTTTGGGTGGTCCTTCAAAGATGTCCCCATCGAGGTAATGGGGCTGGGTCATTGTACCCCCTGGAAAGGGGCATCAATTAGGCAAGACAGTTAGCTCTTTTCAACTGAGGGCAATTCCTAGGAGGACAGCACACACTGCACATACACCTCCAGACCTGAGAGGTGCCTGTCCGGCACATACAGAACCCTGCTGGCCGGTGGAAGGGTTAGGGACTGATCTCAGGACTATCTTGGTCTTGAGGCACTGGGTGCCTTTCAATTCATCTCAGAAGGCAGCCTGGCCACCCGGTGCCCAAGATACATCTGCAGAAGGCCATGCCCAAAAAGTTCCCAGTGGAAATCACCCCATGAAGAAAAAGGTCTCCCGTTTTTATGAAAGACTTTGGGTGGATCCGGTGTCAGATATCGCATGAGAAGGCAGGTGTTGCTCAATCTAGTTACTGATGTTTTCTGTTACTGTCTGGTTCTTCCTCTTTGGAGACTTTGATGGTGGAATCCAAGCATGACATTCAAAATATTTAACAACAAGTAACACAACCTGGACAGCTGGAGTGGGTGCTGGCAGTGTGTATCCCAGCTGAATCCGAATCAGACCTGGTAGCTGCTGGAGGACAAGGCTGCCTCTCCCCGTTGAGTGCCACACACTGAGGAAGAACCCGGGAGGGGCTTTCTGCCAAAAACAGAGGGATATGGGTCTACCGATTAAACTGGGCATTTGGTCCAAGATGGAAGTATTAATTTATGCTGTAAGCTTCTCCGTTTTGTAAGGACTGTGTCTTATTCAGCTCTGTATTCCCCCATACCTAGCAGAGTAAAATTTGTTCCATGAAATCTGTATGACTCTGGGCAAGGCACCATCCTGCTCTGTGCCTCAATGTTCCCATAAGATGAGAGGTTTCCAAACCCTGTTGCTCCTTGATCAGGAGAATCTGGAGAAGCCCCCTCTGGAGAAGGGAGGTGAGTGGGCCAGGCCCAGGGCCTCTTGTCCTGCTTTAACCAGAACAACTCGCCTTGTATTTGTTTATGCTTCCATACGGTTTCACTGAAACCAGCATTCCTCAGCTAAAAACAAAGCCTGGGAACCACTCGGCTGCATATGATATCTGAGGTCCTTACACAGAGCTCTGACGTGCTCAGATGTGAGTGAGTGAATAGACAAATGGACAAATGAACAAACAGATGAATGGATGGATGAATGAATGAATGAACAGACGAACGAACAAACGCCGTGCACCTAGCTAAAGCAGGCCGGTCCTTGGTTATACCGCTCTGGCCGGCAGATGGCCGGTGTCCTGGATGGCTGGGAATTTATTTATTTATTTTTTTTTCAAAATTTTATTTATTTATTTGACAGAGAGAGACACAGCGAGAGAGGGAACACAAGCAGGGGGAGTGGGAGAGGGAGAAGCAGGCTTCCCGCTGAGCAGAGAGCCCGATACGGGGCTTGATCCCAGGATCCTGGAACCACGACCTGAGCCGAAGGCAGACGCTTAACGGCTGAGCCACCCAGGTGCCCCATGGCTGGGAATTTACACGGGGCTAGATCAGAGCTCTCCCCATACCCCGTCAGTTGCAGGTTTCTGGGTCCACTGCAGCCACAGACAAGGCGTCCTCCCTCCAGGCGCCTTGGATGCCACTGGATCTGACGGGCACTTGTCTCCTTTGACTTCCCCATACGCTGACTCAGCTGAAAGATATACTGACAACAGCAGCACAAGCCACTGGCAGGTTTGGCAACAGACTCACTGGGTTTTCTTGGTGTGTGTCCCGGGGTGGGGCACCAGGTCTGGCTTGCTTTGGTTCCCTTCCATCCCAGGAAAAGGACTCCCGATTTGGCCTTGCCCTCCCTCCCTCCCTCTCCTTCCCTTCATTCCTCTAAGGCAGTGGTTCTCCACCTGGGCTACACATTGAAACTGCCTAGGGAGACGTAAAGATTACAGGCGCCCAGAGATTCTGATTTCTTGGCGTGGGGTGTGGCCTTGGCAATAGGATTTGGAAAAAGCTCCTCGGGTGATTCTAATATGCAGCCAAGGTTGAGGACCACTGGTCTGAGAACATGGAGGAGGACATCCAACTCCAGCCTAAACCATTTCTAGCTGCGGGATTCAGATATGTCTGCTGGACTGGGGGAAGCCTGGGGCATGGGCATTTATTAGCGGTGTGGGGAAGGAAAGGGAAATGGAGGGAGGTACACCTCACTGCACCCCTGCCTCTACCTACCCCAGCATATTGGCCCTGCGGAGAGAGAGGCCTCAGAAGCAGCCAAGGGGGGAGGTTCACAGGGGCTCCTGTAAGACTCAGAGAAGGCAGCCTTGTTTGGTGTCCAGGTGACAGGGTGTGACAGAAGGGGAAGGGCACCGGACCCCCTGAGGTTCCAGTGCACCAAGGATACCAGGTGGGCAACACCACCCTTTTGGGGAGCTTTGAGACAAGATGCCAGGCATGGGAGGCGGCCTTTTGAAGGGCATGCCCGCAGAAAGTGACCATGGGCCGCATGGCGTCAGAGAGCAAAGGTGGGGGAGACAGGGAACATTTGGTAAGACGTGGCATCCACTCTTGATGGCGTCCTTTTCACAAGCACATGTGGGGCGCCCCCAAGGAGTCCTGCACATCACAGGGTGAGCCTACGGCAGATGGGGGCAAGCGGCCCCCGGACTTACGAGATGGTAAGGCCTGTAAACACGTGGGTCCCAGACACAAGCCACAATCATGACACCGGGAGTGACGTTGCGGTGGTAAGGTACTCCCAGAGGTGTAGCAGAGAAGCCGATGTTTGCCAGGATGCTGTGAGATTGCCCCCGCCGGGTCAGCGCCCCCGAACAGCCCTCGTGCCATGTGCTCACCGTCCAACCGGGGTCCTTGCAGCTCAAGGCTTCTCTGCATGTGTGTTCTCGAAGTGAATTATTTGCCTTACTTCCTGTGCAAGCTCTTGCTCTCTCTCCTTTTAAATCACATTTTCTCCTAAATTAGAAAACCTCTTTAATTGTTAGCAGGAGCTGGGGTTCTGCTCCTTGCATGGACAATATCATTAAACATTGGAAAATAAACAAACTGGGGAAGTTTAAGACACTTTCAAACCCTTTGCTTCCCAGAGGGCGTCTGGGGCCCCAGGCAGGACAAGGTTCTGCTGGCCTGGGTTTATACTGTGTTGATGACTTGACCCCTCCAGCTGTGAGAAGCCAAACTGACAGCGGGGTTGTTTTTACTGAACTTCGAAGGATTGCAAACTTGATTTGGGAGGCATTTGCGCTGATCTGCACCGAGGTCTCCAGCGGCTGCACGGTGCTTCCTCCTCGGGCAGAGTGCATGACGGGAGTGGGCCAGTGGCTCTCCGAGCCAACAGCTGTTGTGAACCATCTCTGTCCTCCCGAGTTCTTCCACAGGGCTGGGGGAGGAGAGGAGAGCCATGGGAGGGGGTGGTGTGTGAGAACATTTCTTTCCATCTTGCTGAAATGTGAGTCTAATGAAATGATAATGAGGTTGTGGCCTTTAAGCTCCATTGAGCTTCTTGCGCATTGTGATTTTACCCAGAGTGGGGCTAGTTTTTGAAATGATTAAAACTATGGATTCCTAGGCCTGTGTGGCTTGAATTGGAATTCATTAGAGGCCCAGAGGTGAGGGATAAACATTTCTCCCTAGTTCAGCCAGGAAACAGACCCTATCTTGTGGGACCCTCCGGCCAGCCCACCCACCTCCCCAGCAGGACCCCTGGCAGCACGACCGGCTGGTGTGGGAACGACAAGACAATAAATAGCACCCAGCATCCACAGGGCGACGGGTTCTGAAGGTCCCAGCAACACATCCCAGCCCATTTTCCGGGGACGTCTCCCTCATGTGGGAGAAGGGAAGTTCTGAGTGTTTAGTCTTGGTCCTATTTTCTTACAGGCATGTTAAGTGAAATGTCTTCTCTGTGAAAAGAAACACACAGAAACACACTCCAAAGTGTGACCCAGAAGAATGCCGGAAGGAGGAACTCCAGCTGGGAGCGGTGGCTGACACCGTGGCCTGAACTTGGATCTCTTGAGCTCCATCTTTCTTGGGAGAGAAGAAAACCTTGCCTCTGATTTTTGTTGTCACCGCTGTGCTGGCTCCCAAGAGCACAAGATCACTCCTTTCAGGTTCTAGTGCTGGTTCTCTAGAGCAGAGATAGGCTGCCATCTTTAAAAGTAACTCTACCTTAAGAACGGTAGGGAGGTTCCTCAAAAAATTAGAAAGAGAACTACCAGCAATTCCACTTCTGAGTATTTACCTGAAGGAAATGAGAAAAATAGCTCAAAAAGATGTCTGCACTCTCATGTTCATTGCACCATTATTTACTATAGCCAAGGCATGGAAGGAACTATGTTTATTAATGGATGAATAAATAAAATGTGAGATTATAGATATAAAATATGGTATGCACACATACAGAGGAATATTATTCAGCCATCGAAAAGAAGGTAAACTTGCCATGTGTAACAACATGGATGGACCTTGAGGGCATTATGCTAAGTGAAATAAGTCAGAGAAAGACAAATACCATGTGATCTCACTTATATATGCAATCTAAAAAACAACCACCCCCCTCCCCCCGCAGCGCAAGAAACCCCAAACAAAACAAAAACCGAACTGGGTAAAGGGGGTCAAAAGGTACAAACTTCTAGTTATAAAATAAATAAGTTAGGGGATATATATGGTAACTGTAATTAAAATATTGCATTTCATATTCAAAAAGTTGGTAAGAGAGCAGATCTTAAAGGTTCTCATTGCAAGGAAAAAATTGTAACTGTGGTGATGGATGTTAACTAGACTTATTATGGTGATCATTTCACAATATACACAAATATTGAAAGATGTTGTATATCTGAAACTAATATAATGTTATGTCAATTATATCTCAAAGAAGAAAACCCTTACTTCATATCAAAGGAGGCCAAAAAGAAAATAATTACAGAAAATGTCGACGGCATAAGGATGGGCATGTTTCCAAAATATGGGTGTTCTGTTCTACCTTATGCTGTTTTTAACTCTTCTCTTGCCTTAAAGGGCTAAAGCAATTTATACACACTTGGCCAGTCCCCCTGCCTGTGTTCCTGTGGAGGCCACCGTCTTAAAACTGGTCAATCTCCCAAAAAAAAAAAAACAAAAACTGGTCAATCTCCCATCTTAATATCTTCTCTGACAAGCCCAAAGGATGGCATTCTAACAACTCACCTGGGGCTTCCTATTCACATGGAGGTTCTGGTCTGAAGAGCAGGCTTTATCCACAGCAGACTGGGAGTAGTGTAAATGACTTAAGGAGACAGGGTGCTGTCCTCCAAATGGGGAAAGCAGCCAGGCAAAAGTCCCCATTGACCTCCATCCCCTCCTTCTTTTATAGCCTCACTGGGCAGTCGTGGTCATAAAACGTGCACAGCAATAGTTATATTCAGACTGGAGCATCAAGGTCTGCCTTCAAGGTCACATGCACCACGATCATGTCCACATTTTGGAAATGATGTGCTATATCTCTAATTTTCCTGCTCACCTTTTTACAAGTCAGCTCAGGCATCACCATCCTGAAGCCCTCCCTAAACAACACAAGTGGGGTACCTTTCCTCCCGCTTTCCAAAGCTCTCTGGGCATCTAGAGAGCTCGTACCACATTGTGTCATTATTCACGTCTATTTCTCTTTGTGGCTCCCACTAGACTGTGGGCTCCTTGAAGGCAGGGCTTACATTTTATTCCTTTTTCTATCTCATTACCCAGCACAACATCTGGCCCATAACATACCTGGGCGGATAACTGCTGGGTGAGGGAATGAAGGAAGGAAAGGATCCATGATGGATGTCATTTGATTCTCAGGACAACTTTGGGAGCCGG